ATCACGTTATCATGTGATACCAGTGACCCATTTATTAATATAACATGAGTCCTAATTAAGATAATACAAATGTTTATTTCTCGTAATATATGTTATCCTAATAAAAATATATACTAATAATAATAAATTGTATATAAATATAATACATCTATTATTACATTTATTTACGTATATCAATAATAATACATAAGAGACAATAATGAGAGTGCTGTAGCTTAATAGGTTATTACCCTGAATCTTTAGTATGCAAGAAAACCTTCTGGAAAAGTGAAACCTTTTGGGAGTACAGGAGGTTCAATTCTAAATGATACCAGAAACAAAAATTTATGTGTGAATTTATATTACCGACTGACTCTCCGGTGAAGACGACGGTAGATGGTAATACAAGTGGCAATAGGTAGTAGTGTACCTTTCGAAATATGGGCGTGTCAAGTGTTGCTTCCACCACGACATCGACTGTTGACAATGCCTCTGATTATCCCATCTAGGATTGTAGTGATGACAGTATATTGTTTTTTTATAGTAATATGCTAATAATAAACAGTTTTAGGAATTTCTTTTTTTTTAAGACATGTAATTTTTTCTATATAAATAATAATACTCTGGACAATACACACTGCGTCATATGGCCCCAAACGAAGCAGTGCTTATGGCAAGAGTACTATAGAACTGATACAAATGTAACACTTAAATACATTTTTTTGTAAGCACATACATAATACATATAGAAAATATCCAAACCGACACAAAAATATACATACTCGTGAATACAAATATTTACACTGTGCGAGGGATCGAACCCTCGACTGTCGGTAGTAAAGCGTTGCGCTACACCACCAAGGCCGTGAAATGATGTTCAATAGTTAAAATATATTGGCAATACAGTATATCTATTATCTATGTTGTATTTCTATTATTTTTGTCATTAGTTTGTATAAAGGTTTTTGAAAGTAGCGAATATCAGAGAACGACGACGGCCATTAAAGGAAACGACTCTGGTAGAAGAAAAAAATTTAAAGATTCGAGCAATTTTACGATTGTGTACTGTCATCAATCTTCTTGAGAATCGTTTTCAAATTTTTCTTTTCTCTCTCCGTTGGTTGACCTTTTATGTATTTTTTGCTTTAGTATCATCCATTCATATATATTTGATTTAATATTAACATTGTACCTAATCTATATCTATTCTAGAGTAGATATCAAATTTCTTGTTTGTTTTACATTTTATATAGTGATAATCTGGGACAATTCACACAGCGCCATCTCTCCCAAAATAAGCAGAGTTTATAATATTTGTACTAAACATAGATAGCAATACTAAAATACATTTTATTTTGTGAATACAAACATATATACATAGAAAACATTCAGACCGTTACAAACAAGCATATTCATGAATACGAATGTACGGATCGCGAGAGAATCGATTCAGCGACCACCGGAAGTAAGGCGATATGTTAAACGCTAGGCTACCGAGGCTGTAAATATAAAAAATAAATGAAAAGGTTAAGTTATTTTACAGGCAGGATAGAATAATGTATCTAACTAGCGCTGTTTGTATATTTTAAAATTTGTATATTTTCTATGATGTCTCTATCATAGAAAATATACAAATTTTAATCATTTATAAGTATTTATATTGTGATAGTTCCAGAACCAGTAATTTTTTAACCATGGAAATTAGGTATCCATGAAAATTTTCCAATTTTTACATTCCGATAGAATGTCATATTTCAATTTAATAAATCAAATGTGAGCTTAATGTCGAGCGAAATTTCCATAGACGTTCAATTGTTTTAAAATCGAATAATGCAATTCTGTGACTTTGCAAGTAACTTTTTAATAAAATCTGAAATTAATTTTTCACTGTTTTTTTTTTCTTTATTCAACCAACATATATATATTTTTTTAATGACAGTAATGTTTTATTTGGTTGTAATCGATAATTAAAAAAAATGTTCGACTGATTAATAAAATTGTTTCACCTACACAACTGTGACATATGTACATTATATGAATATGCAATTGTTTCAAATTTTTTATTTACCTTTTTGATAAAATCAAATATCAACCGAAACTGTACACTTTCGAACCTGTGTTCTTTACTAATAATAATAAAGAAGAAAGTTTTTTTTTTCTATATTGTCTTATTTATATTTGACTGTACATTCCGTGTTTTCATTCACTATTTTAGTTAGAAGATAGTCCGTCCGTTCTCGTTTATAATATATCTTCATGTCAAATTTTATTAAAACCCTTTAGTTGTTTCGACCTAAAAAGGTAACAAACAAACAGATAGACACATTTTAGCATATATAATATTTATATTATAAAGAAGTGTATATTATAAACCTTCCTCTTGAATCACTCTATCTATTAAAAAAATCAGCTTCAAAATCCGTAGTGCAATTGTAAAGATTTAAACATATATAGAGACGGACGGACAACGACAGCGACTCTGTTTTATAAAACAGTACTATGTAATAATGATGAATGATATACATGAGTAAACTTAATAAATCTTGAACAGATTTTAAATGACATACTTAAAAGATGTACGACAAATAAAGGTACAATTACTTTAAACTCTAATCTAAAAGTTCTATTTGATAAAACCAAATATGAATGAATTTTCAAATAGTTAGATGAATAAACTGAAGAAATTTTGAATAGATTTCGATTCAATTATTTAAAAAAATAAAGATACAATTATTTTAAATTCATATCTAAAAACCTTATAACTTTATGATAAAACCAAATATGAATTTGGAGCTATCTTTTTGCCGTTTTTCAACCAAACTGTACAGCTCCGACTGCGAAAAGCTTGAAACTAACTCGCTTTCAAATTCGTAATTGTTATGGTAATTTTGAATATCAGCTAAATTGCCGCTATTCTGAAGAGCACAAGTTTTGTTTTAGTTCGTAAAAAGCGGACTAATTTAAAAGTCAAATCCGTAGCGAAGCTAAATGGATTATTCAGCAATTATTTTGTCTGCAAAGTGAAGCGTTAACTACTTAATTAGGCTGATCTGGACAAGTTAAAACCTACTTATTAGTTTAATACGATGTTACCGAAGTAGACTGTAAAAAAGTCGTCTACGTGGATATTTCTATTCACATATTTCCACCACCAAGCTTGCTTGTAGGACAGATAAGGTGAAATTACAGGATAAGATGCTTGATATTTTAGTCCTCCTCAACACATGAGTGGTATAGGGATATCACGTCATAACGTGATGTGCATAGTCCTCATTTATCATTATCATTCATAATTACATTCTATAATAATAATAATCTCAAGACAATTCACACGGTGCCATCTAGACCCAAGTTAAGCTAGATAAACCTTGTGTTATGGATACTAGATAACTGTTACAAATACATAGATTTTTTTCGTAAATACATACATATTATACATAGAAAACACCCAGACCGACACAAACAATTATACTCATGAATACAAATATTTATGCCGTGCGAGGAATCGAACCCACGACCATCGGAAGTGTGTGTTAAACCGCTAGACCACCGAGGCCGACTAACATTTAGTTTAATATTATGTTATCTGTGGTTTTATATTGTTTGTTATAACAATTACCAATTACAAATGTATTCAAATTATAATTTCTTATAACACCATCATGAGATTATTAAGAAATACAGAAAAAACTCGGTTACTACCGTTGAAAGTAAAAAAAAAAATCCTTAAAATTATACTTTCGTGGATATATTCAAAAATAAACTTGGCACAGGCATTACTGATCATAATCTCGTTTCGTAGAGTTGTCAAACATAGATGAGTATTAGGGACAGTATTAGACTAATTAAATAAAAATGTTTATAGCATTTAGTGAACTTAAGTCCTAAAACAGATAACAGCTGTTTTATAATGATTCGTAATCATTATATTAATACATGAAGCAATAACTTTGTACCCCTTTTTACGAAAATAGCGCGAAAAGAGGAGTATAAGGTTTCGCACAATTATGTAAACTAACATAGAGAAGGAGTGCAGAATGCGAATGTTTCCTTTAAATTATACATAAAAAATACAATATTTTAATAAAAAAAACATAACACACGTCCATATATTTGTAACATGCATGCATATAAACTGTTTTGAGTATTGTTATATGTATATTTGTTATTGCTAATTCAAAGATCTTTTTGTATTTTTTATTGTGATCGATATATATATATATCATCATCATCATCATCATCATCGCAGCCCGGAAGACGTCCACTGCTGGACATCGTTATATATATATATATATATAATCCTATAACGGCCATCTGTCCTACGAACTTTGCCATACAATTATATATATATATAATCCTATAATGAAACTTATAGAAATATTTCAATAAGGGATTACTGAAATATTGCTATATAACTATAGAATCTACAAAATCGATTACTTATTAACTATTGTATAATGCGTAATATATTATAATCCCTTAACTCTAACATTATTCTTAAATACTATCTGATTCCTGCGGATTTGTCTGCTAATTTAGTGATACAATCTATCATCACACCGAATTTCATTAAGTTCTATTATGGGGTTTAGTCGTAAATAGGTAAAAAAATTACTATTATAGAAATAAAATAAAATGAATGATTAGCATATTATTCGTTTCATTCTTTATTTTTTTTATAACTTAAATATTCACAATTACTTTTCAATAAAATAATTATCACTCATGAATTAAGTATAGTAGAGCAATAGCTTAAAACCCAATACACTGTTCTGAAATAATATATTAGACGTATAATTAATATACTACCTATATAAAATTATGAAAGAATAGAATCTTCCTAAGTTCATAATGGCATATTGGGAAACTGTAAAGCTCGCTTAGTGTGACGTAAATAAATAAATAATAAAAATAATATAATAGTGAAGGGAAAATTCCCAACTGATTTATTAAAAATTAAGATGTCCGTATCGTTTAATACTTACAAAGTAATAATGACATAATTAACGAAATGTTATTACCTTCGAAACTTTCCAAATCATCTCCACAAAGTTTCTTCTTTGACAAGTAAATTAAAATCACATTAACGTCTAACACTTTTACTAATTTATTATTTTTAGTCTACACTTTTGTAATTGTTTTAAAATAATTATTAATTATTTAATTTTAACATTTCACACACTACACTGTGATGTCAAATTATACGCCCTGTAGTATTAACTGCCAGTAATTTTCACATACAAAAATAATACTGAAGAATTAAAAATAATTAAAAACACCACATTCGTAATTTAAAAATGGAAATCGCGATCTTCCATGATGCGTTTGAACGAGACGCAGCGTCTGAACCACACGGGGTATCAAAACGCACTGGGGTTGCTCTGCGGGTTGAGGTGCGAGCGAGACAACATGACAGAGGGGTAGCTGGTGAAATCTATATAGAGTTCATAAACTGCCCACAAATGTATTATTATTTATTTCTAATATTTATCTACCAAAAGAAAAATACTAAATATTTTTCTTATATTTTAAAATGGGTTAACCTATTGCCATTGAATTTAAAGAGTTGCTCAGATTGGTATCCTCCGTGATTTTCTGATTTTATTCTTACGTAGAATGGAAATGTGCGTGGGTTGTGATATAGGTAACTTCAGTTTTGCGATACGCGACGTTATTTGCTTTATCTCAAACTACGTGAATCTACCTTATGTGACATTCACGATTTTACACGAAGAACCAATATTTTCCTTCGGTATATTGAATTAATCACATAAATTATTCGCACCTGGGATAATTTATAAAAGTATTTATTTAGAATAATACTGTGGTCACTTTTGTAACATTGTGGTATTGAAATTTAGGTGTTAATTTAATTATAATATATTAGTAATTTTGTATGAAGTTCGCTTGAAATAGGCTTTGCAGAAAGTCGTCTATTTGTTAACCTCCATTTCGTCAATCTTAGCCGCAATGTAACTAGTTTCATATACTACTAGCTGACCTGCGCCACTTCGTCTGCTTTGCAGTTACTTGGCATTTATCATTATATTTCGCCCAATTTACATAATATCTTTTTATATTATAGCCTATATGCAGGTGTAACACTTTACAATTACAAAAAATTCGGTCAGTAGTTTTTCCGTGAAAGAGTAACAAATATCCATCCATGCATCCATAACATCACAAAATTTCGCGTTTATAAAATTACAAAGATACTTCATTTGGAAGGGTGATATATGGTAGTAGAACGACAGGGTACAGGGTGTGCCACTTTAGTCTTAAAGAATGGGAATGAAATAAAAAAACCTGCACCCTTCTAGAGGCTGCTGATGACCTGGTACATCACCGAAACCCAGCTTACAAAGAAAATTGCTTGGCGGCTGATATATATTTTTATAATTATTATATTAAATACTTATATATTTTTACATATTTTATATCTTATTGAAGTAAAAGTATTTTTTATTAAAATAAGCATTTTGAATATTAATATTTTTTATTATTCCACCACTTATCACGAACGCAGACTTATCACATGAAGAATATACAAGAAACGTGCATGATGATCTTTTAAATGAGATAAAGATATTTTAATAAAAACCTCTATCAATATTAGGAAAAACAAAATTTACTCAAATTTTAATCCTGAAACAGTAACTAAATTTGAACATCGAAGCCCGCTATTCCGATGCTTTCATGAAAATTGAATTCAAATACCTATTTATTTTGAAGTTATGTTTAAAATTTCGCAGAGTACTTACGTAGTTGTTTTACTACTAAACTGATGTTATAAATGTGAAAGTTTTCAAAGATATTTGGATGTTTAGATGTTTACTATATAGTAACTGTAACTTCAGAAATATATTTATGAAATATAATATTTATTTTCAGGCATAGTATACGCTATACGTGGTAGATTACTGGTATATTGATATCAGGTGTTGGTAGTGTGGACTGTAGATTGCTGGAAAAATATTATAAACTCCTTCCCTAGACCAAACTAGTTATATTCAAATCTTATATATAAATTTTCTTGTGTTACAATGTTAGTTACCACATTCCTCCGAAACGGCTTGACCAATTTATATGAAATTTTATATGCATATTCAGTAAGTCTCTGAATCTACTATTGTCTATTTTTCATACCCCTAAGTGATAAGGGTTATCCCTAACAACATTTTTATTTTTTGTACTTTTTTATTTTACTTTAGTATGACTTGGTATTAAAAAGTACATACAACTCTAAATTTTCACAAACCACAAACTACTAAACTATTTTTTATACCGATATACTTCAATTTATATGGCAAAATAACGGTTGTGGGTATAGCTAGTAACTTTTAAATTATACTGAGCAACGTATTGTATGCGAATCGTGGACATAAGCAGAGAGAAACAAATTAATGCTGCCACCCTGTAGCACTCCTGTCTTACAATATACTCAAAACGTAAAATAATTACATGATGCTAGCAATACCAGGTACATTACAGAGGCATGACAGTAGTAGTAGCTTAGTTACGTATTCCTGTTATAACATAACATGGTAACACTTAGAATATAACTACATTTATCTTGGACGCTCTTAAACAGATAAAAGATTGATAGCTCGTATCTAGAAACAATTCAGTGAAATGGGTAAGAAACAGCTTTCCAGAGAAGTTAACAGATGTCAATAAACTCTTCTTCATCATAAAACCCGTTACATGTCCGCAATTCTGTCAACAACTATATTTCCAAAATGTAAATTGTCAGGTCCTCTGCTTATTTTGCCGGCTAGGAAGCAGGGCATCACAAATTAATCATATTATCGTCAGATTCAATGACGTTGTAGAAAGTGCTCGAGAGTTTTGCAATCCTTTCTATTTAGCTCTCGTATTCCTTTCTTGATAAATAAAATAAATTCAAACTATGTATATAAAAGAAATATTCGGGTTAGTATATCTATGGTTAGATGGTTAATGTTTCAATAAAGTAATGTTTGTAATTTATAATTAACAACTGTTCACTAAATGCTTATGAAAGTACATATATATGGTACTTACATCTAGAAAACATTTTAATTTTCTTTTGTATGTCAGTCTGTCTGTTTATTCTTGCTAATATCTGAAACTAACTTAGGATTACTTTTATTTTAGAAATGTTTAATTAATAATAATAAAGTTAAGTCACGGATAACAGCTATTTTAATATATATAATATTCACGTGTTACAGAGTTTATTATGGAATTCTTCTAAAACGGTTGGACTGATTTTTATGTTTGTGGTGTATATTTGGTAGATCTGAAAAATAGGTCAAATACAATTTTTTTATCACTAAGTGTGGTTGATAAGTTTAAACAGAAATTATTTTGTTAGAAGTAATTTATATGAAAAAATAACGTTTGGCTGGTTAGCTAATAATAATATTAACCATTGCGACACTTATTGTCAACTTTCGACGTCATGGTGAACGTAACATTTGGTATACATGGCATGATGGCAGGTGGCGAGACTACCGACACCCATCGGATCAATTTGGTTTATCAAACAAGTAAGTCATAAATATAAAATGATACACAAAGATTTTGTTGCCGGTCAGATTCAAACTCAGAACAATAGGGGTCCAGTCGAGATACTACACTGCTGCCATTATTACACCATATTACAGCCTGCAACGCTCGCATAGCTGTCGTTAAATTTTTAACCTACTGCACAATATTTTAGGGATGCTTCTTGTTTGAAATCTAACTACTGAAAATGTATTTCCAAATGTTTTAAAAGCAACACGATTGAATCTAAATATAAATAATTCGTACCCTTGACACAAATATAGCTTTGCTCAGTGGACAGTGGCTTGTTCAATGAACGATTTAAGGAAGATTGGTTTGTCTGGGATATTTTTACTCTGTAACATATTTTGTTAATGGATGATTGTAGAATGATGCTCTCAAACACGTACTAGTGGAGCAGTGGTATTTGTGGTGGTAGATGGTAACATGAGGATATCATTCAGATCAGTTATAATTCATTACAATTGCATGCGATAACTACAAAATAGTAAGATCTCTTCAAGAGGTCTTCAAACGCCTTTTTATTTTCGAAATCGTATTTATAGAAGAAAAGATATTTGCGTAGTTAAGATTAAGTTAAGTTACAGATTAATATATGTAGATTACAGATATAAACTCAATACAGAGTAGACATACTTTTCTTTTTTTTTTATGTTTCTGGAAGCAGTCGTGCAGACAACAATAAAAAACTGATTTGACTTCAACTTCTCTTCTTCATCATTTAATCTTAATTCCTCGACACTCGTTTAACTATCTTAATAATGTGTATTAAATACAAAAGTTTAAAAATAACTATTGAATGGAATCCGTACCAGGTGTCCATATACTAGGTTCCATTAATAAGAAGAAAACAGAAAGGTATTTGAAAAATGTTCGCTGCAATCTTAGACTGTAGTAGGTAAAGGGATTGGACGTTGATAAGGGTAGACGGTACTTATCGTAATAATACTTGTAACCTATTCCAGGAAGCGTTGCATTTTGTTTTTCTCAACCAACTGCAAAGTGAAATTGTAAACATTATATAAACGAGATATATGTCATGATAATATTATTAATGAATTCCCGATATTTCAACGCTATTAAACGTCCTGATCAACCGTCGACTGGAAATGGAGGTGGATATAAACAATTATTACGAGCAGACAAATATGTCTACTTAATGAATTTATATTACTATTTAATGAATTTATATTATTTTGTTTTATATTACTACTTACAATTTATATATATGTAATGAAGTTATATTATTATTTATTCAAAATTAGCATGTGTGAAATCACAAATATTCAGTGCATTACGATCTACTCTATTGGTGATAAAATTCCGACCGTTATGGAGTCTACACCCATATTGCGACACGAGGCATTATCAGGCATTGAATAGAGTTCGAATATAGCTTGGAAGCTCAGTGATGACGGTTCGGCGACCAAACTGCGACTCAAATCTGTCTATCAACTTTCTTAGTCTTTTTCACGTACACTGTCACCACTACTACTGGAAAACACTTTATCACTATAGAGATTTAAACTTATTTTTAAGCACTGGATTCAATGTGCTGGACAACTTGAAATCGTCTTCTCTATTCATGGAGATCATGA